CTGCTAGTGATGGCCAAAAAAAATTAATAATCAATTAATCGGTTAGTTGATTAATCGAAAGCATTCGATTATTAATTGCAATTAATCGTAAGAAATTAATCGAATATTCGTTCGTTTCGATTAAAATTTAAAATTAATAAAAATTATTTACACAAGTTATAAAAACTTACTGTGTTATTTAAGGATACATTTCATGTTAAACTTTGGAAACTTGCGTCATGAATTCAGTGCGCAAACAATCAAGAAATCTATAACGAAGGGAAACAATAAATAAAAATGTGTAAAGTAGTAGGTATACCATCCATTATAGACACCGTGTCAAAATTATAAGCGCACAACAAGCTTTTTATTTATTTATTCATTTATTTTTTCAGTATAGCTTATGCTTTATATAAATGTATCAAAATTTGTGCAATATCAAAAAAAAATTCAACAAAAAAATTCGAGCTTTTTAATTAGATTTCGTAGAAAGATTTTCAGTATGCAGCCTTGTAGCCAATTAAATTTTTGTATAAAAAATTGCAAGATTGAAGTATCTAGCACTTACCGTTGATTTTTGGCATTTTTTTTTTGTTGACGGCGTTGCTTATTTTCTTCCGAATGAAACAGCGTATGGAAGAAAATGCGCAACACCGCATTTGGTAAATTAAATGAAAATATTTGCATACCTGGACTGCGAATTTTTGATTGCTACTTAGGAAAAACTCTTAAAATTATAATATGTTTGTGTGTACCGAGTAGAGGGGATACTTTTATTTTTGCTAGTATTATTGAGAGGTAAGAATGCCAATTTTCGCTACGTAAATTTAACTAATACATTATTGTTTGATTAAAGTAGACAATTTTTGATGGTTTCTTTTCGATTATTTTGAAAATTCATCGGTTAATCGCTCGATTAATCGAATGAAAATAACCGATTATAATCGGCTATTGGATTAATCGTGCCATCACTATTGGCTACAAGTATTCGTAGATGGTAAAGGCTATTTCAAATTTTATTAGCGAAGACTAGTAGTTATGTGTGTATGTATGTACATAAATATATGTGCATGTTCTTTTGCTGTGTTGTTATTACTGTAGTTTGAAATGAAAATTCGGTAGACGCCACAATGTTGGCTGGCTTAAGGCCTGCAAAGAAAAAAAAAAACACATAGACCCGCCACGGCGCCCAGGCTCTTACTCGTCACGTTGACTCGGTTGTTTGTTATTTGTTAGCTGCTTGCAGGTCTGCGTGTTGTATGGTTATCCTTGGCCGCATGCAATTGTTGGTTGTATAGGTGCTTTGGTGAATTTGCAAAATTTTCTTCTTTATGTACTTTTGCATGCAAGTGAGTGTAGTACTTATGTAGTTGTATGCGCAATGATGCAAATCTCACCAATACAACACTTAACCTTTCCCTTGCATGCATTACTTAATAAAGTCACATTGGCCAACTCGTAGTAACCTACTCTTCTGAGCAGCTGTGCTCGAGTTTTGCTTCTTTGCGTACTTTTCGAAGCGGAGCGGAGCAACCGAGAAACAGAAGAAAAATGGCAATTGCATGTGAAGAGTCCTAAATGAGGAAAAAAACCATTTGAGTTGGAACCACCACCCATGCGGTGGGCACTGTACGCAAGCGGAGGCAATTTGAGAGACGGGGCTGCGGCATCTGGACGCCATTCGTGAAATTTTGTGAATTTTTCTACTAATAAAATAAAGAAATTATGCGCTCGATGGCTGACATGCCGAGGCCAGCCAAAACATTGCCATGAGGGAGCGCTAATTTAACGGTTGGACGACCTGTCGGGCGGCGAAGGGAAGTCGCATCAAAGAAGCACCGTAATTGTTGTTGTTTAGCGTGTAGCGCCTGTCGGTGTATGGCGTGTGGCATGTTGCATGTAGCATGTAGCACATGATGCCCACTGGCGTTAATGTTCACAAGTACAACTACAATGTTTTTGAATACGAAAAAAAACATAAAATTTACTTTACACACAAAAAAATGTATGTGCGTACATACACAATTACTTTAGGGCAACACATTTGAGGAAAAAGCTGCGGGTTTCAGAATCGAATTTAAGACTGTGCTCTATTTTTTCTTCTTCTTCTTATATGGCAGTGCCACAATTCTTCGTTTTGGGCCGGGACCAAAAAACTTCGCCAATTCCCTGCCTCCTTTGCAAAGTTGCGGCAGTTGTACCTCCCAAGTGTAGATAGGTCCTTCTGCACTTGGCCCTTCCATTTAGTTCTTGGTGCACTTTCTTTCGTTCTCCACACATGAAGGCCGAGTAGAAGGATCTATATTTTATTACTACCTGATAACTGCAGGCGGTTGTCTTTTGGATAGTGAAGGCAGCTTGTCACTTACGGTAAGTCTGTGTCAGGAATTAAACACGGAATTAAATTAACTCGAGTCACGTGGAAACCTCTCTCTGCTGGGCTCCTTCGACGCTAAACAATTCTGCAGTAAGGGTTCTTATCGGCGCCAAGGCACGCCACTGTTCTACAACACCAATATTCCATCGAGGGCGTATAATAACCAGCTCTATTTGCATAAGTTATCAGGACGAGGAGGAAGAGAGCAATGGACAGCTCTCCAGACGCGGCATTTGGTATCACGTTCTTTCAATAGTTTTGGGAGACAGCGCAAGTCAAAACATCGGAGTTCCATAGCTTCATTGGTAGTAGTAAGTGATGAGGCAGACATTATACTGACAATATGGAATAACTTTGGCAAAGTCTGCCTCTGACTGGAAGTACGAGTTATCCGTACGTGCCTTTCTTACCTAACCTTATTGCTTATACTAAAATTAGTATTTTGCACCAATAGATCATTTTCCGGAGGTGTACCAGTTTTAAAATATTCAAATATTTCTGAAGCTATCTTATTTTGGATTAAAGTCAACACACCGGCACATCTAGGTTAGTATTTTTGAGGCCGTAGTGGTACCATGCGGATCGTGAAAACATAATAAAGGCGGAAATGCGGCAACTATTAGTTTTCGCTGATGAGTAGGACTCAAACAATCGTGTGGAGTCTGTGAAACCTAATAGTTGGCTAATTCTAACTTTTTCCATGTCGCTTAAAGCTTCTTCTTCTACAGAACGCGCTATAGCTAAGACCCTTCTTCTCAGCAAGAGTAGACCTTTCGACCATTGCGCTTTGCATTCTGGCCACATAAGTTTTACCTTGCTGCATATGGTGAGACCTGTCCATCTACCATTTGCAAGCTTAAGAGTTAGATTACTTAGAATGAGCTTGCAGATAGCGTACCGCATGCCGCTATTACTTCCAAGACCTTGAAAGTGGAAAGGATATTTCAACTCTTCCACGTTCGTCTGCATTATCGTTGCCTGGTATATTTCTATGCCCTGGCACACATATGAAGAGCAAAGAGTACACTGCTCAGGGATTTATGGGAGTGCGCTTTTATTTTTGAGTTGCATATGACCAAGTTAAGTGCTTTGAGAGCCACTTGACTATTTGAGTATTTGAAGACATTGTTACGTGTGTCTTCTCCTATTGCTAAGGTTTCAATCGCCTCCTATATTGCAGCAACTTCAGCTTGAAAAAGGCTGTAATGGTCGGGTTGACGAAATTAGTTTTCCAGCCGCGACTGTGCTGAAGTAGAAGTACAGTGATTCATTTTCCTGAGGAGGCCCCAGCCTCTCAGCCGCCTTATCAAAGTTATCTACTTGTAATAAAAATTTTATATGTCTGTAAAGTATAGCCTTCGCACACAGCAGTCTGTGCAAGTTAGGTCGTTATCCTTTAGAAATGGGGAGTGACCACTTTGAGGACTTTCCAGCCGGGTAATTCCCACCGTCTCAAATCGTCGTTTCCAAACTTTTCTCCTTGTTCCACCTTTCAACTAGTCTTACAACCTTATTAGGTATCACGAACGATTCGTCTACAGAGGAATGCTTCAAAAATTAGTCAGGCGGCATCATTCTAGCCGGTTTAAACGTAACCGAGACGGTTGAAACGCAATTAATGAAAAGTAAGGCGAAAACTACAGATAGAGTTATACAATCGCAATTAGAGAAATTGTCGTCGTTCCTGATACATAATAAGGCACAAAACCTGGTATTACCACCGCAAGGTCGTCAACATACGCAATTATCTCAGGGCTTGCTGTTTATTAATCGCCCTAAACCCATAGAAGGGGAAACATAACTCTAACCTGCGGGGTTCCCTTAAAAACTTAGCTGTCCAGCGATGATTCTGCCGATTTTGCGTGCACGACTCTGCCTACAAGCAGTTGGCATACGAGTGAGACTAACAAAAAGTTTATGCTCAGATTCAGTAGAGCCGACGTGATTGCCGTGGGCATAGTATTGTTAAAAGCAACTTCTCTGAAGCTGACTTTTCTACTGTCATTTTTTTAAGCGTACGGAATATAAATAATTTTATTCAAAATAGATTTTGTAAGGATCATACATTTTATCAACTTTTAGATTTCGGTTTAAAGTTCAGTAGTAGTCTCTTTTATGAAGTGCGTGACACACCTTAATGTCCTTAAATATGTACACATATACCTGTGCACATATGTATATGTATGAGTTTCGTCGCAAAGTTGTTGCTGTTCTTGCGTGTTACACCCTCATGTCAGCCAGTTCTCTGTTCCCCGAGGGCTCTGTGCTTTGGACCGTCTATATTGCCAGTACCAGCCTTAGCCTTGTCAAGCCTCAGGACCTGCAGCGTTCAGCGTGCAAGCAAACGTGTAACGTAACCGTTTCTTTTTTTAAATATTTTTTCTGCTTTGTTAGATTCTTTCGTACTTTTTACTGTTGGTTTTTTTTCACTTCTCAAATTCACTTTTATGTGCGCTTGCATTCATTAACAAGCGTTCGCGGGCATATTTCTCACATTTATCACCAATGCTATTTTTTTCTTTTAATGCCGCAAATTTATGATGTTATTGTATTATATTATTTCTTTAAAACAAACATATTCCTACTTAAACCATATTCTTGTGCTGCATATATTTTACATTGCTCTCTTTTTTTTCTTTCGCAGGACTACCATGTCTTCTTCATGCACAACCCATCGCCAAATCGCTGTTTGGTGTTTGACTTGGATACGACGCTACCTTTTCCTACGTATTTTCACAAGTATGTTACAGAAACGTTCCGCTCGGATCTGGCGCTAAGACCAGAGCATCATAGGTCAGTATTTCTTGAAAACTAATTAAAATTTGGCTAATATTATGATGTTAACTTCAACGAAATATATCGGGTGAAATTGAACTTTACATATCGCCTGCGAATACAAAAATCTTTGAATGGCTTCACCGAAGAAGATCTAATATACATAGGTATGACATGGCCAGCCTTAGTTAGTTCAACGTGTTCCATAATAGGGGACACAGCGACTTAAAAATATTGTATTTGTATGTTTAAAGAGATCCCTAAACATAATCGGTTGTGAACAGTTAGATACCCAGAGACGTTTTCATTTTTATTTACTGCGCCCAGCTTCAATTAGAGAATTGTGCGGCGAGAGAGATCGCCGACACTCTACACGAAATGGCTAAACAAAGCACTCTTAACTGCATTTGTATAACACATTACACAGGGATATAGAGGTTGTTTCTTCTATCGAAGCTAACACAAACAACGCGTGCAAAAAACAGCGCTCAAACTATGCGCAGTCCATTGAACTGTTTTCTTGTTTTCCTTTTACATAATCTGTTTTCAATTTAAATGGTGTAAATATAGTTTAATCGGAAACGATTGTTGGGAATAACAGAACTCAGTTGTTTGTCTCTCAACACATCCATGCAAGAGTCTCATACCTAAGGGCGCTGGCCCAATGCAGGCTTGCTTTGCGCGCCTAGCTGACTTCAATTTGCTTTGATTCACTTTGAAAACTTGCTTGGCCGAATGGCGGCTTGGAATGCTGTCAAAGTAACCAGCTGTCTGGTTGAAAAGTCAATGTCTGTTCCCTTAACGTCAATAATTACTTCCTAGAGAACTCTAAAAAATGTATCAAAAACTTTCAGATTTATTTTTAAATTAATGCGAAATAATGTTGGTATTTAAAAGAAATGATAATAATGATACATACATAGCTATATCTACATTTACTAAAAAACTATAACTTAAAAAAAGCGATTTACTTGAAATAAAGAGCTATAAGAAATGTTTTCCTCTCGTGTAAAATTTGTAAATATGGGCTTTGCAACATTTTACTATAAGATAACGGATATGTTAAATATAAATATGGAAACAATGAATCATTTTTATTTAATTTCGATTTACCTGCATTTTCTGTGACTTTTTTAAATTAAGTAAACAAATTTTTGTTTGAATTTATGTATTTTGAAAGGAACATACGTCTTTGTCAAAATCCTACAAAACGCTTTCAAAATCCAACATTTGCTTATTTCAAACTTTGAGGCGCTTAAAGCAAGTGAAGAAAAGCTGCCATTTGGCCAGCCTTTATACGTTTTAGTATATTCCAAATAATTTTTGACACTTCTCGCAGCGATGCAAGCCTGCATTGGGCCAGCACCTTAATTCTTGCAAAAGCGGGTGAGAATCGTCAAAAGTGTTCAGCCGTCTCATACTGCGCAAGACAGAAAGAGCAAACGAGGTTTTGTCAGTACCTTTTCTACCAGCAATTTATGTCTGGACCCGCTCAGTGTCATACATATCAACATGCATTTCTTGTATGCCTTGAAAAGTCCCTTAAGTCCCACCCACATATAAGACACAAAGTGATGGTAAATTCAGCTGTGTATCGAGATAAGCGCTAAGCGTTGTAGAGAGAGTTCCTTGCACAGCAGATGGCAATTGCCGTTTGAAGTTTGAAAATAATAACGTTAATAATTTATGGCCTGCTACGCCGTAACCATCATCGGGTTATAACTGTTGTGTCTGATCATATAGAGACTTTGCTTTTAAAACGACCTGTCCGCATTGCGAAAATGTCACCAAGGATTTGGAGGTGTTATGCTCAACGTGGATGTTTTCGGATTGTTGATGTTTCCGACAGGATTAGTTAGGCTAGGAGGCAGTCCTATGCGGGCTCACTTAGATTCAGGGTCGTTCCCCTAAGCCGTTTCCATAACAACCACTTGGTGCTTGGAAAAAATTGCATAAGCTTCTAACATCTATCGCTTTGAGGTGGTGGCAGAAATAACTGCGAAAAGCTTTTGCTCTCCGTTTTGATAGAAAAGATGTTGAATGCTTTCTTCTTCGTACTCATTCACATAGCTTCTACAGCAGTCATTCCAGGGCGCGCCGAGTTTACCAGCATGTAATCCAATCAGATAATGTCCGTTGAGGCCTCCAGTTACTATGCGAATTTTCTGCCTGCTTAGATTAAGTAAAGACTTGGGGCCATTTTCTCAAGTAGGTTTTCAAATTTATCTGCCCTTTAAAGTTATATCACAAATTTTGTTCTGAAAAAATGTGTTTGAAGGCCAGATAAATTTTAAAACCTACTTGAGAAAACGGAACATAGTGCGTTGAGTATCTCTAGCTGGCCAGAGTGGTTTGTCAATATAGCTGGTCGGATCGATTTGCCATCCTTAATTGGCAATTTGTATAAATTTTTTCATATAGTAGAAATTTTAATGTTTTAAGAAGGGTGCCAAGGGTATCCAGAGCAAATAACAAACAAGCTTAGCCCTCCGTTTCAATTGAAAATGTTTCTTTCTGATTTTTGTACTGCATAACTTAGTGAATTTGAGTTTGTATACCTCCTCATATACAGGTGTCAGTAAAATGATACCCTCCGGCATTAACTTGTGGAAAACACTCGAATCTCTCTTTAATTGATTTATTTTTATATTTATTTGTATATGTTTTCATGCTTCCACTTACCTAATTATTTGGTTTCTTTACAGATACTTCAGAGTCATACCCGCAGAAACATATCTAAGTGAATTCTCATCAGACCGTCGACACATGCGAAGGCCCGATGGCAGTTGGATAAAGCCACCGCCATCATATCCGCCCATACAGTCAAGCAGTAAGGCATACGCATTCAGGCATATTCATTCCTTTGAACATTGGCATTCGATTAAGCTTTTATTGAATTTTAATGCTTTTTATTTAAGACGAGTATCAAGCAATTCACTTAATATTGTAAATTCTCACACATTTTTTTTTTATTTCTTATCTTCCTCTGTAGGCAATGCGCATAGCTTGGGCGATTTTATCTGCATGAATGCGGGCAAGGGACCCGGCACCGTTTACAGCCTCTCAGAATTTGTGCAAACCTTCTACAAGGCGCCGAATGTGGTGGCGCAACAGAACAACAAATAATACCAACAAAGCTGAGCAACTATCAATTGAAGTGCCAGTCAAGTTAACGAGCATAGTAGAGCAGAGTAGAGTAGAGTAGAGTCGCGTTAAAGCATCGCATATTGTGCACCGGAAGTACGAATAGTAAACGAAAGAGTTGGCACCAGAACCAGATGTAAACGTTCGCACGTATTTACATACATATATTTAAATGTATGTTTATAAACACATAAATACTTATGTAGCTGATGCAGCTGCTCGGCGTAGGGATAAGAACGGAGCGAAAGGATTGGGTGGATCAGCTGCAATTACGTTAGCAGTAATAAGGTGCACTCAATGTCAACTCAAAGGTCACATAAATAGTAACAAGAACAACAAAAAAAGAACATTAGCAAAAACAAATATGTAGCAACACAGCAGCAACAAAAATAATAAGAAAAATAGAGAGGAATAGAGAAATAGGGTCAACATTATTTAATAACAAACATTGCAGCCACCGCAGCTAAACATCAACGTAACGACATTAACGTCAGCGGCGGTATTTCCTTCAAGTTCGCACACAAATCGCTCGTTTGCACTCGGTCAATCAATGCCGGCTGTAGGCGGTCAGTGGCGCAACCTGCAACAGCAATTAACCGGCCAGTTGCAGTGTGCTGATGCGAATGTCACCTGATTTGCATACAACACAAAATTACCCAGGGTCTGAGCCCGAACTTGGCGCAGCTGCAAAACTTTTGCCACTGCAGCGTCCCGCACCCTACGTCCTCTCACCTACGACGCGCTTAGATCACAGGCACAGCACATCACTTGGCTATTTGATTCATTCTGATTCGTCGATGCTTCCGAGATATTCACACAAGTTGAGCTACTCGCCGCCTGCCGCCCGCCACTTTGCAGCGCTAATGCTTTCTTTTGCATTCCGTAATAAATATTTTCTAAGTATGTATGTGCTAGTGCTATGTATGTGGCAAGGCATATTTTCAACTTTCATGCATACCAATGTTTTTTTTTTTTGTAATTGTTTGTTGGTAATATTTTGTAACGTCATTGATGTCATTGGAGCGCTGCAGCCGCTTACAGCTGGCATATATGTATGTATGAAGAAAAAATTGATGGATTCATTGGACTTAATGACTTCGACTGATGGCTTTTCGCTTGATTGAATAGCAGAGGCAGCGGCAGTCACAGATTGATGACCGTTAAAGGAAGAGAACAGCAGCTGAGCGTACGATGGAATTTCTTATACATATTTATGTATTTAGTTTCTTCTATTTGCATCTGGTAATATTTTGGTCACAGCGCAAAAGCGGAAAGAAAATACGTTCTGGAATTAAAATATTTATGTACTTATATAAGGCAGCGCTGCAAGAAGTTAAGGAATGTGAAAACTATTCAACGTTGCAACGGAAGACACTTCGTAATCAAAGATAACAAAACATAAAAACTATTAAATATTAAATACAAAACAAAATAAAAATCTTAAATCAGAAAACAGTTATGAGGCGCAAACAATTTATATCTAAACTATAGTTAGTAATTAATTTAATTAACTATTACAATAACAATTAACAGTTGCTTATAAAAACACACACACACACAAAAAGACATTAAGATACTGTAATAACTAATAATATGTAATAATGATAAACGTATTTTTGTATTTAAAAACAACTTGCTTCAAATGGCAGCAAATCGATAAGGCAATTGTAATTAACTGAAGAAAAATATATAATTAATCGAACAAAAAACTCACTAATATTTATAACTCAGCATTAAGTGTTATCTGAGGTTATGGAAAACAAATTCAAAAAGCACCAAAATTCTGGTTTTTTTTTTTTTTAACGCAAGCAAAACCAAACGTGCGGCTTATATTTTACTCCCATTTATTCGAACTTAATCCAATGTTTTTTAATGAAATTAAATGTAAGGTACTGGAAGAAAACTCAGTTAAATATAAGACACCGTAAACGTATGTAAATTTCTAAATTTTCTAATAATAATCTGTAAACATTGGATTAAAACTGTATGTACATAACTAATTTGGAAAATTTGAATATCGCAAGGCATTTAACTTTTCATTTAGTTCTTGTTGCAGCAATTTTTATTCACAAAATAATACTTTAAGGGCCAGTTTCACGAAAGCAATTTAAGTGAAAAATGATTTTCTAACTTTTTGAAGTTTGTATGGAAATTGACAGAAAATAAAAAATCATTTTCCATTCGAATTGCTGGTGAAGCCGGCTTTTAGTCATTGAAAATACGAAATATAGATTTTTTCTCAAATCGATTTCGATTTGGTTTTCGCTGTTGGGGCAAACAACCGACTATGTTTTAGTTGTTGTGGCGGTAGCATTATTATTATTTTTTTTTTAACGGACACTATGCACCTCCACCTCTAAAGTGATTTATTGCGCGTGAACCTCCGCCTATTATGATTCACAACTTTAAAGATACTTGAGTTGTAAATTGTTAGTGTGCGACACCACTCAACTCTTAAAACATAGTTTTCTCTCAATAACAACAGACATGCCAGGCTCATCGGTAAAAATGAATTTGGGGTTTCCGTATATTTTTTTTGCTTTGAATTATTACGCTGTGCGAAAAAACACACAAAAAATCAAAACACAGGAGGCAATCTGAAATAATGTAAAACTGTGTTTTTAGTTTTTCTCTCTTAGGATTTCTTTTAAAAGGACTTTGAAAACTCAAAGTTATGATTAATTCTAAAAATTATTTAAAAAATCCAGTGCAATGTATAATTACCACTTGGGTACAAATAAAAAAGTACAATTAAAAAAAGAAGCTTTTTGATTCACAAGAATGAAAAGATATTCAGGCTTATCATGAGTTTCATTTTCCCCGATCCGGTTTAGTTTTCACTTTGAGTTGGGCGGATGAAAAATTTTGGGGTGAATTCTTTTTCGAGCTCGAAACTCAGGATAAGGCTGATTCAAAAATCTCTTTAAATTACATTTATTTTTTCATTTTTTTAAGCTAACAAAGTTTAGTGATGGGCTGAGTCGATACTTTTAAGTATTGATCGATCCTCGGTATCGATTTAAAAAGTATCCAATACTTTCGATACTCGATTCTGAAACGTTTAGGCTTAGAAAAAGAACGCATATAGACCAAAAATAAAAGCGGTTCAGGGGAGCCCAGCCTATTTATCAGAATCAAAATTTAGGGGCTAATAGAGGTTTTAAACCTGATTCAAATGAAAAAAAATGTACGTATACATACATATACACATTTTCCATCGCCAAAATGCACAAAGTCCCTTCCTTATTTAAATTTTTTTTGTAGATGAATCGGACGATGCTATCTTTGTAAGCCTGAAAGACTTTTTCATGCGTCAAAGCATTTTTCTGGAATTTTGTATCTACAAAGGTAGAAACTGCTAAAATTATATTTTGCTGTTGCAATAAACTCAGGAAAGCGATGAGAGTGTTGTTTAGCGATAGCAATACTTTTAATGTGTGGTTTCCACATTGTTCAGTACAAATTGTTCAATTTTTGAGAAAGCATCGGCTTATTGGTACTCTATGTGAAGTAGTCGAAATAAGGTCGATACAGCTTTTTTAACGTATATTCTGTTGAAAATTATGTCAAATTATCGGTATTCGGTACCTAAGAGGAAGTAATGGGTACCGAAATCTTTCTGAAGTACTGGGTACCGAGTATTGGGTATCGACAATTCTGCACATCCCTATTAAAGTTAGAGGGCGAAACTCGTGGATCTAGTCGGTTGTATGTTAGCCCTTAACATATAATTGTTTCAAAAGTAAATATTGGAAATTTTCAAGGACATTCCGTGATAAAATCTTTAAGGGACATTTTCAATTTTCAAAAAAGTTTTGTCCTAAAGAATTTTCTCTTTATTTTGATACTTATATTGCTATTCCACACTGAATTGTTTAAATATGAATATGAAATTTCAAAGTCATAAAAAAATCATGAAATCGGAGAGAAACACTACAAAAGCAGTTTTACTATATTGACCTATAGTTTCACGAATATATTGTTTTTTGTGTTTGTAGCATTGACTGTCGCACGGTGTTATATCCCAGCAAACATTTAGAGTTATAAATGAGTCTTCAAGGAAGTCCTATTTCGGAGCCTTTACGCTCATAATGAGCTCACTTAAGAATCCGATAAGAGGGTGTTTCCCTTCCTCCGAGGGTCGACTTACATACATGAGCTTAAATTCATACATCAAATGGGCCTCAATATGAGTCATATCGGACTCTTATGCAAAACTTTTATTATTGAGTCATGCCCGTTGTTGTGTATACGATATCTGAATGGAGAGAATTGAATTGAATGAATAAGATTGATGCAATATCTCATTTAGAATCTACGCGGGCGTGAGAAAAATAGGCGTATCTTTCCCCCCCTATAATGAATTTTTATACGATAGACGGTAAACGCTTGCAAGCGTATAGTATGAAAACAGTTCTCATATTATCGTTTTCATATGCCCGACAAATGTATTGTTGTGAAAGGCTGAGGTTTTGGTTAACTTTTTATGTCAAATCAGCACAAATCAGCTACGCTAACTATCGGATTTCATACGACAACATCGGTTCGTAATAGCGAATAACGGAATGCAAGCGTTTATCGTGCATCGTACGAATTCGTGATAGGGGGGTTTGATTTAGCCATATAAGAAGTAAATTCCTAGAAGGGTTTCCAAATATCTCAATTCCAGCACCATCTAGTGGGTCAATTTTTGCAGAAACATCTTTTATCTTTATGAATTCAAACCTGATTCTTAATACGATTTTTTTGCAAAAGTATATATTATCATGAAAATAACCTGATCGGACCCCAAATACGGTTTTCAAAATAACTCGATTCCAGCGCCACTTAGTTTTTACAAAATTTGTTCTTATCGTACGGGTAATATGCGCACTAAGTTTGAGCTAAATCGGTCTATAAAGACAAGTTTTTTAAACATCACCACACCAGCGCCATCTAGCAAGTTTCCTAGTAGACTATAATGGACCAGTTATGCAAGGAATAACTTGGCTGAAATCTATCCAGTAGTTTTTGAACCAAGTCCGAACAACGAAAAGGGCTAACATTTTAATAATATCGTCGCTACCATGTCAAACTATCGAATGTGAAAATGGAAACTTTTCAGGAGAGTAAAAAAAAATTTTGTTGTTATTAGGAAAAGTTGTGGAACTCGACACTTTGTTAAAGCCAGTATCCTCTGCTTCTAAGAAGACTCGAAATTGGACGATTTGCTAACTTGCGTATCATTCTAAACGCATGCGCAAGGCACTTTTGCGCATTCGATAGTTTGACATAGTAGCGATGATATATAGAATTATTTCAAAATTTCAATTTTGTGGGAAAACGAAATCAAAGTTTGATCAATTCATAAAGTTATTATGTTAACAACAGTTGGAAAAAGCATATCTTAGCCATTTTTGGGAAGTTTAGGCTGAACATATTTTCCTTATCAAGCTTATTACCTGCATGTATCTCCAAAAAAGTAAATTTTCAGTTACGTGTCTATATTAAGTACTAAACGTGCGATATGTATGTCTATAGGTTTTTGAGTACTATTTATATTAGCAAACGGGACAGGTAAAACAACAAAATTATTACTTTTTGGATTACTATGGTCCGTAAAAATCGGTTTATACTTAAATAGGTATTTTGGTTTCTTTTTTAAAAAAAAAAAGTGTAATTTGAAATTTTTTAAAAGAGACCTGATTTTAGTCGCTATGTCGCTCGCAGATTATACATATTATTTTCCTTTCTTAGTAATCCGTAGTGTTTTATGCCTTGAAATCAAAGTAGAAACAAAAACTTTTATTGAAAACCTAATTCTAAAAACTGCAAGGCGCTGTAAGAAAACATATTGTGTTAATATGATAAATACTTTAGTAATTAAGTTTTGCAATTACATCATTAATTGAAGATTCAATGAAAATTTTAGATGCATATAACTAAGTTAAATAACAAAAATATTTCACAAATCAATTAACAGCATATTAAAAATATGTAAATCGTAATACAATATTTTTAAGAAAATGTTAAACATCTAAATTTTTTGTTACTATTCCTCTATAACTCGAATATTTGTAAAAATGTTACATATACATATGTTTTAAAATTACTTAAGAATCCAGTTAACCGTATACCAATATAGGGACTCTTTTATAAAAACGTATTTAATATTACTTAATTAAAAAAATACCAGTTAATTAAATAAATTACTTCTCTACTGCACAGATTATTAAATTTGTCCGAATATGTACATATGTATATGTAAAACCCACTAACTAAATAGAAAAAGGCTTAGTAATCGAAATTTTTCCTGCAAATTAAATTGTTTATAAATACATATTTACAAAATTTTTTTTGTTTGTATTAGTAATTGAACAAGCATTGAACAATTTGAAACAATTGAACAAGTCCAAAGATATCAATTAATTAATTGCTCTTCCTTAACTTAAACACTATTTTCTACTTAACTGTCCATGTTTCTTCCAACTACCTTTATCTACCTAATAGGTATGTGTGTACTTAGTACAATAAAAAAACAACAAATACTTATATAAGTACATACATATTATTATCTGATATCTGATATGCTCTATTTAGTGCTTCCTTTCAATATCGCTCCACCTTACTTTCAAACATAAAATGCTTTTAATTATCCGCTGCGCATTACAAAAAGACTGATCTGTTTTAAATATTATTATTGTTTCCTGTTCCTTTCATCTAATATCTCTAGTGGCACACTTCTTCCCAGACGTAAATTTAATTGAGTTCCACTCGGGCAGTGTATTGATCTTTCTAGCTAATATGCAGCCATTATAAATAGTTTCATTACAATGTACTACGCAGTTTTGAAAATTTAATCACGAGGAGATTATTATATTTAATTCCCGACTTTTCAACAAAATCGCGTTTGAGAGAATTATGGACGTTGGGCTACTAAAGTTCAAGGGATGGTTAAGACATCTAGCACTTGAATGCAACACACTGACAAAGTTATAACTAGTTTACTTCTGAAGTTCTCTACCAGTGATGCCCTTTTTCAATTCTCCAGGGAACAACAATGGCTGGGTAATAATGTAGTTAGAACTGCTTCTTGTACAATCTACAATCTACATACTTTAATTTAAAGACGAGCAATTTTCATAGATCTGATGTCAAACTCCTCCTACAAAAGTGGATAACCGATCGCAAGTGTTGTTAATAATCTTCTAATCTGCATATACTCGTATCTACTGCATTTCTATAAAACTTATTCCAAGGAACATCCGCTGGTTGAATTTTAGATAATCGATTATGTATGTCCAGGAAGGATCGCGTGAAGATTTTGTACTAGGCTTTAAAATTGTGGTTTATACCGACATACATACATGCAGTATAAAATGCTAGTGTAATATATAAACCGTATGTCTGTCAGGGCTATTATACACATTAGACAAGTGTTCATACAAAGTCTGCAGTTGCATTTTGCCCACCACTTTAGTAATGAAGTATGTAGTGCTGCTCGCATCAGGTTAAAGAATCAGTTATTTCCCAGTGAGAGCATGAATAGTGATATTTTATTAATGACTTGAACTTTTTAATTTCATTTGTTCGATATTTTCAATTTTTTAAAGTAGCCCCATGAATATCCTTAATATAAAATTCTTGGAAAATGCAAAGTTGCCAAAGTGATGGAAATATTATTAATTTCTTCTTTTTCAAAAAGAGATAGGCCCAAAAATAAAAGTTAACATTATTTCTACTACTAATTACTACATTGTATATGTACATATATACATATAAACTACGACTACTATTTATTGTACTATTTTTATGAATGCAATGCAATGATGAAGTGCATTTTATTGCAACTATGTAATTGTAAGCGATCTTTTAATGAATATGAATATGTCACAAAAAAAGACAAGAAAAATAAAAATAAATTGCTGATATTTATAAATATTAGTTATATATGTATATAGACGTGCATATGTACATACATACATACTATATAATAAGCCTCTAGTACAGTCGGTAGCAAATAATCCATTTTAGTAGGGCTAGGCCAATGTATTATAGAGCCTCGCGAAGGGTGATGAACGGCATTGCTCATAATCTGGAAGGTCTGTTAAATTCACTAGTTCCTCGCAGGTGCGTCGTTTTGAACATTCGTTGCGTTGCCTAGATAACAGCCGTATTATTTATTACCAGGGGCCGAGAACGAGTTTTGGTTTTGGTTTCGTTCAGGCAAGAATGTTTCCGAAAAAGAACCAAACGGGAAAAAAAGTATTAAGAAGAATTTTAACGGGAACAAATTGAGAACAGAAGACTCGGTAATGTTTCCGTAAACAACAAACAGAAGACTCGGGGGAACGTTCTCAAGAAGAACAGAATGAAGACGAAACATTCAGGAACGTTTTCAATTAGAACAAAATTAAAACTAAAGCATCTAGAACGCTTTCAAGGGGGATCAGATAAGAACAAAGCAAGAACAAAAGTTTTGAGAACTTAACGTTAAAAATGAGAGGGAAGTCTGCGTGTAGCCCATGAACCAACTAAACAGATCACCCAGCACGGCAACCGTGTATTTGTAATTGCATTTGAGAAAAAAATAAATAATCGATGACGTCATTTCTGAATAGGTTATTTCATTCACACACATGGTTTCGTTTCTTTTCATTCACATGGCGGCGAAAAAATGACGTCATTGCAAAAAAAATACTTTTTTCTCGCACGCCGTCCTGGGTGATCTTATTCGTTCGTTTATGCGTGTAGCCGTTGAAACCCAATGCCGGCGAATGGCGAATTTTTCGCCGCGAATGTTCGCTGTAAAAATTAAAACACACTCGTGTATATGCGAACGCACACAACCAAAGCAAACGGCGAAGTTTGCTCGATGACTTTTCGCGACGATTGATTGATTTCTATCGCCGCTGTCAGCGGCAACCGCGAAAAAATACAATGGTGACCATACCTTAATAGTTCTTGTAATTTTTATTAAAAAATAAAATAATACACATTATATTTTTCTTTCAGAGACTAATTTCGTAAAGCGTAAGTTAAATAATAAGATAGTTATATTTTACTACTGTTTCTATATTTTGCTGCTCCCTATTCGTTGTAAAAGCTTATTTCGTGAAATATGATCACCTTATCAGTTGACAGCTTTCTGAATTGAATACCGCTCTATATGTGTTTCCATTAAGCGAATTAGCTGGGCGAAAGTTGGACGTCGACATCGCTTTGTTGGGCGAAATTCGCCGTTCGCTGGCATTGTGTTTCAGCAGTTAGAATGAAAACTCGTTTACCTAGAGGAAAGCTGGATCATTTCAGCTTCAAAATAGTTTATTATTCGGGTGATATTTTCATCTATGGAAAAAAATTTTCATTTTCTATGCAAGAGAAGTTCGTCTCTTAAGTCTTTCGTTGACTTAATTTGCATAATTAAACCGGCACACAACAAGAAAGAGATCTATGCATTTAACCAGACCCACCTACCGACATGTATTTCGACCCGCTGAATCAGAACCTGAGGTCCATTTGACTCGTAAACCCTCAAAATTTCGAGTAAATTGTGAATTGTGTGTGGGTTTGGTTAAAAGCGCACACCTCTTTTTGTTTTGTGTGCTGGGGTTTTTTTCGGATCTTTTTTTATTTATTTTAGTATTTCAATATTTAAAACTAACACAGCGCTATGGAAAAAATTCGGTTCTCGCTTCGATCCTTCGCAGATAGTTCAAAGAAGATTTGTTCCCGTTTCGTTCTCTGTCAGAACGTCCCTGAGACTTCAATTCCCCAAATGGTTTTTCGAGAGAAAGTTTCTTAGACTTTTGTTTTCGTTCGCACTTTGCCAAATCAATCCTGAGTCTTTTATTCCTATTCTGAGCCCGAATCGAACGTAACTCGTATCGAAATTTGATTTTGATATCACCGCATTCGATAGCGAGTGCGCTTCGCCAATTTAAATTGCATTGGTTTGAAAACAGTGGCCATTTTATTCCACTCGATTCGTAACGAGTGATCACTCGATAAAGAATGTTGCGTTCGGGCCCTGTATTATTCGCATTTCCTGCACTTTGGGAACGTTCCCCGGGTTTTCCTCTTATATAACTACCGTTGAGAACGTTCTCGACAGTTTTGTTTTCAATATACCTTTGGTTCTCGCACCCTGATTATACAATTTCTAGAGAGAAAGCGAATGCATGGTAATCTAGTAGGTGTAAATTGATTACTGTTAATGACATCCCCATATTAAATCTAGTAGGTGTAAATTTATTACTGTTAATGGCATCCCAATATTAAATTTATGAGTTAATTGCATTGCTGGTAATCTGGCGGGTAGGCAGTGGTGATTGCCGATGGCGAGTGAATTCACTAGTGCGCGGTACTAGAGGAAAGTATTTAATATACGAATAAGTAGGTATGCATGTATATAAACAAGTATGTATGCATGTACATATGTATGTTTGTTTGAATCACATGTGTGTTTATTAAACTAATGCAAAAAGAAAAAAATCACAAGAAAATAAACCAAAACATTTTCACTGTGCAAGTCTTAAAGTTAAACCTTAATTTTTAATAAACAACCATATACATATACACATATATATATATATATATATATTGTATACATGCTAAAAAATATATATGAATAAAAACTAAAAATAAAATATCTTTACTATTCGTATTTTAAGCGGTTAAGTAAAGTTATGACTTCAATTTAAACTCAAGTGACAGCAGCTATAAATATACATACATACATGCATATGCCTAGATAATATAGTTAATGCAAATGTTTATAAATATACATAAAAAATATGAAGAGAAAAAAAAACTATATCTTCTCGTTGGCATTTGTCGTATAGCCTTTTTCGCGCCACATATGTATGTAAATACATAGCTCCTACTCGCATACTCGTACATCCACAATGGCATTCACGTCAAAATCTTTAACTGAACGGTATTAAAAATTAAGCAATTCAATCTAAATTCTATCTCAAATCTAAAACTAGTTTCGCATTTTTAAAAACTATCACATTTCCTTAGCTATAAATAAAACAGCGTGAATATCACTCTTATATAAAACTTATTCACCTCAAGCAGTTAATAGAACCAACGAACGATATAGACCGAACAAATGCAGCTCAAAAACAAAAACAAAAAATAATAACTACTAAAAATAGTTACCAAATTGTAGAACAGCTGTGGACGGCTAGGTATTAGATAATTTCAAGAATTTTTCTTGTTTATATTTTTTTTGTTGTCCTACCTCTTCTCCTTTATGTTCTCTGTTATGCACACTACATAGATCTATTTACGCTGATGGATCAATCATTTCGAGGTGGTAGAAATGAGAACGGGTCGGGCTTTGGCAGCGGCCCGGCGGGCTCGGTTCGAATATCTTGAAAAGGGCGAATAAATCAGCGGATAATATTATGGCAAATTATTGGGAGATTTATCCACAATTCTCCGGATTGAGCCCCAAGCGATTATTTCTGCTTACTAAATTTAAAGAAATGGCTCGGGGTAGGGACTTATTTTTAAGCTTTCGTTAATGATTAGCTGATAGTTAAGCGACGATCAGTGCTTCTGAATCATGGTACGATCTAAAGTGTCTCTCTATCGATCGACAGGGACTACTTTTAAATCAAGTTGAGTGGGGCCCCAAGACATAGCGGCATAGCAGAAAATTAGATGGCTGTTTAATAATTAGGATAGTCAGGATAGCCTTTAGATCACCTCTCTGGACAGCGAGGGCAAAAGAAGTTAACTGCGGCTCAACGAGCAATTGATGGAAACCCTGATATGTAAAGTGGCGCAAAGTCTCGATTCCTTATGTCGCCAGGGACCTCTGTTTCCGCAGCTCCTTAGAGGACGATTAAGGTTAAACACCTCGTTTCGTATTTCATCAGCACTGCCTGGAAGCTATCTGAAGTGGATGTCTGCTGCTTGCGGAACTTAATTTTGAGCACTCAGCGATTTTCCTTGCTTACTTTATTACCAGCAGATAATTATATACATAGCTCTTGTATAAAGCCAGAACACTCGAGTGATTGCTAGAGCTGTTCACTTGGCAACCTGTTTTATGAGAAATAGGCCGAACTTAACTTATTGTCGGTACGATTTTTTAAACGCGGATAGGGTAAAAGCTCTCCCTGCCCATTACTGATGTATGTATGTATATATTAGAAAAAATTGTCTTCTAACTTTTATAAAAAAAGCTCCGCAGAACGTTCCGAGGATATACATACAAATACTTAATAGTTAATTGTTTTTAGATTCAGGTAGTTTTTAGTTCTTAAAGCTCAGTTAGTCTAGACTTAACTTAATATTTTGTGCAACCTGTTCTATGAGAAATAGGTCGAACTTAACTTATCGTAAGAAACTTAAGAGGTGTAGATTTTAAATTCTTAAGTACGACCTTACGGATACTTAGAGCGGTGAGAGAATTAAGCATGCCTGATTTACGCATTATAGACGGCGAACTGTTAAACAGCTGAAACCGAAGATACAAAAATAAAAATAAATATCGTTTCTGGCCTAAGTTGGCACATTGAGCAATCAGTGACAAATTATTATGGCAAGCTAAGTTAAGTCTAGACTAACTAAGTTTCCAGAATGAAATCGTTTAATTTAAGGTATGGTGAGGGGTTATTGGTTATAAATGTAATTTATTTTGAGTCAATACAACTAATGCTGAATTTCCACTTGGCATTAAATGGCAAAAATTGTATTGACAAAGTTGGGCATAGAAAAAATTCTTGTCATTACATTAAATTCATTTCCACATGGCATTTTCAAATACCTCCAATTTTTTGTCATTTCAATTTCTTTATTATAAACTAAACGAATATTATTTCCTTTTTTAATAAAAAATTTTTCCCACAAAATCAATCTCATACTAAACAAAAAAAAAAATTGTAATTCGAAACCGTGCGCTTGAAAAGCAATGGAAAATTTTGTTTTTGTAAAATGGAAATTTTCTTAAAGTATGCACATAGTACATATTCTAAGGTCAAAGCAGCTAGGCAAACTGAATTATACAGTTCCGATTATACACTTGCACTCCACAAAAATGCTAAATTGTGTATCCGCATTGAAAAGTACGTATGAAAAAATATTTTAATTCCAATGTCTTGTTAAACTTTGAACCATTTGTAAATTTAGTTCCACTTAAATTACTTGTAAACACAATTAAATAACCTCAATAAGTAAAAACTAAATAAATCTAAAAAAAAAAACACACAAAGAGGAGACCCAAATTTGCTTTCAATACTTTTCCACTTAAAATTAAAAATGTATGTACTTAAATTTAATTAAAAATAAAATATACAAAATAAATTTATTTCAAGGATACCCTAACCAAATGCATACATAGTAACTAAGAAAATTGGCAAATAAAAACTGATATAATCAAAAATAAATAAAATCATTATAAAAAAATAAATTTAAACAAGTAAATAAATACAAAAAGAAGCAAAGATCAGAGAAATGTAGTTAGGCGAATATTTTATAAATAAAAACTAAATACATATACAATAAAAACAAGAACAAAAACAATGAAGCAAAACAATTAATTTAGTATCGAATAGCAAGCAAAGTTAAAAAGGGCAAATAAATGAAAGCAATTGCAATGCAAACAAAAACGCAATTTCAAAAACAAAAAGCTTACATGCATTAACACACAAAACCATTCATACATACATATGTACATAAACACATAAACATATTAATTCATACGAAGAAGAGATTTTCAGAAAAAAAGCATTGGCGGGACAAATACAATGCTAATGTAAAAGGTAATAGCAACAATAATAATATTAAAAGCTCTTACCCTAAAAGGCAAGATGTCGCCAGTAATCCAATAATAAAAGAAAATTAATTAATGTGGGAACATAAAACTCACATCAACAACAATTGCATTCAACATATTTGGCTAAGCAACTCTTTTTTTTTTATTTAATTAAATTGAAATTCTATTGTTATTGTAATTGAAATTTTGAAGTTAAGAAATTTTGAACTTTAACACTTTTGGCTGTTTTGGCTGTTGCAATTCAGGTTAACAGCTTATAAAAGCACCCACTGACAGTTAGTTTTTTTTTTCCGAGAGCATCCATCTCAAATATTCGCAGATCTGTTGACTGATTGAGTTTTAAAAGAACTCGAAGAGACAAAACCCGAGCCGCAAAAAAAAAATCTGGGACCGGCACTAATTATCCCCACCCCCCATAAAAAAGGTATTCTTAAACAAATTTGCAAGGATCTCACTACATACTTGTTGTTTGCTTTTAAAAAAATTAATTTTTTACTCTTATCCTTATGCCGCATTTCCACTAGGCATTAAATGACACAAATTTAAATGACGAAACTGTGCATTACGAACAGCCTGTACCAGTACGTAAAGAAAAGTGGGCATAAATTTGTTTCCAAATGGCATTTTTTAAATGGCACACATTTTTCGTCATTTCAAATTATTCTCATACATATTCAAATCACACGAAGCAATCAATATACTCACGAAACTAGGAGTGAGATTTAATAAAACTCTAGTTATTTCTGTGACATCGGGATTTTTTTAAAGGATTTTGAAATTTCACAAATTTAGAGAATTCAGTGCAATGTAGAATAATAATTTGAGCGCAAAAATTCTGTAGAATTAAAAAAGTTAAATTTTGTTTGATGCACAAGGACGAATTGGTATTTAAAATCGCCTTTTAATTAATCCGAACCAAAAAAAAAACTAGAATGGCGAAATTCGAGGATGTGGTCGTGTATATATTGGTTCTTAACGTACAATTAAAAAAATATATATGTGAAATTTTCAAGGACATTCAAGGATAAAATTTTGAGAGGATATATTCAATACCTTGTCGTCGTTGTGCCCAAAAAAAGTTAGTCTTTTCCAGTTCCACAGAATTTTCTCTTTGAGCTTTTACTCTCGGGCGAATCTAAATCCGCGGAGGGAAATCTTTCGGCATGGTTCAGATTTGGGCTTTATTTTCCCACCGTCTTTGAAGCTTGCTTTTTCTTGGACCAGAAATTTTCGAGCAAATGTGATCCAATTTTCATTGCGATGGATCCAACCAAATAATTTTTTTTTTTAACCTTTCTTTTCTTGAAGCACACAGAATATCAAAATGTGGTGATTATTTTCGAAAATGGATTGGAGTGACATTGAACTTTTGTAGAACTCTGGTAGGTGATATTGTGAGGGCATTTTGATTAAAAAAACACTCGATTCGACCGCTACGTCGCTACATCCCCTAACGTTTAAAGTATGTAGATAAACAACCAACTTCAATGAATAAATATTAAATTTATAGTATTTTTGAAATGTACAACAGCAGAGAGTTCACCATACTAAAGCGCAAGCGCGAAATGATAAAATTTTTAATCAAAACTATGAAATTATTATTAAAAATTAAACTAGCAACGATGAAAAAAACAAATTAAAGTACCATATAACTACATAGTATTTTCACGCAAAAAAAAAAAACAACAATTAGCGACCAAATAATAACAATGCTTAGCAATAGATTGCAGGCGAGGGTAGAAAATTTAAGATAACACAACAACAATAATACATATATGGCAACAATATGCAATTCACAGATGCTCGGATGTTTACGTTGTGAAATGGTTTCAAGTGCGTTAGTTCTCTTTTCGAAAAGGCATTTATTTTTATGCAAAAAAAAAAAGAAAACGATATGTATGCAAGTGTTTACAGGCGCACATACATACATACTTAGAAGTGTGCATTAGTTAAACATTTTTCCAAAATACTGCAAAATAAGTATGAAATGTATGTATTTTACATACATATATACTATAAAATAAATTTAATAATGCAAAAGAAGAAGCTAAGCTAAAAGCAGCAAAAAAAATATTAAACTGAAAGCAATTAAATAAAAAATTTATAAAATACACAGATAAACACACACACAAACGCACTACACATAAACGAAATGCAGACAAAAGCAAAAACAACAAAGCAGCAATAAGAATTAAAACAACAAACAATTTACATAAATTCTTTGCAAAATTTATGATACTAGCTAAGCAAAACTAAGCGATTTGCAGCTAAACTCATGCAATAGAAATGTACACACATTCATACATACATAACAACTGGAAATAAACATTTGTGTGTTGGTTCGTTATGCATTGCAGTTGCAACAAAAACTACAAAGAAACTGGCAAAATTCACTCTCAAATGCATCTATACTATGCCGTGCGTACGAAGCAAACTTACTTACATACATATGTATGTATGTATGTTGACAAATACACCCATTTGTATTTACGTCGGCATGTGTGTGTGTATGCACATTTTCAGTAAACTGCGAAATGAAACATACCTAATTAAGCAAACATTATAATTAAATAACTAAAAATTATAAAATAAGTAATTTTTTCCACAATTTGTTACGCTTTCCCTCAAACTGCATAAATCGAAATAAATTTATTAAAAATTTAAAAATATATGAACAAATGTAGTTGTTATTTCATATACATATAAATATATACTAGCTTTTGTACATAGCTCCGTTATTTAAATTGACTTTAACTTTTTCAGCAGGTGGCAACTCTCTAAAAGAATATATTTGAAATATGTAAATCCTTTTTGAAACCTTTTCTTTTGACAAACACATTGTTCTGAAATTACATTTTAAGCGTGAAAAAGCAACAAATCAACTGATTCACAAACAATAAATAATATGTATGTATTAGATGGATGATGAACTTTGTGGTATAAGTACGAACGAAATTTTGCAAGTATTTTAGAACAATTATTTGCACCAGCTTCAAGTCAGAATGTCATTTCAACCTTGTGATTATTCTAGTGTATTAAATTTCATATATGTACATACGTCTTAGACTATGTTCCAACAGGCACCTAATTGGCACTTAAGAACCTTTCCACCAATTAAAGCCTTAATTGTAACCCAATTTATCATACAAAAATTTAAATTATTAATTGCCAATTAATTATTAATAATTCGTGTCAAATTCTCTATGCAACCCTGCTAGGCATGTTTAATTTTGACTTGGTGCTATGTTTATTAATCAAAGAGTAATCAGCTGTTTAGTTATGGTCCTCCTTTAATGCTGATATTCCATCAGGGATGGAAAATTTAATTATAAAATTGTACCTAATTTACGGAAAGCTTTACCTAATAGTACATGGATGTACCTAAAAAGTATATATGTATTTCTTTATAAAGAAAATCCCATCGATACCATATCAACTTCTTAATTCACATTAGACAAATTTTGGCTATGAAAAGAATCTCTTCGAGCAGCGCGAAACAAAACTATGTTGTAGAAAAGGTGAATCACTTTCCTCCCAGTTCTTCGATCTGACGTTTTAAAAATAAATATTTTCCGTCTATTTGGCGAAATTAACTACAGTTGCGTTACTTTGACCAGTTTCCCGCACCAGAAAATGCATTGAAATGTCAATGAAAATAAGAACTGATTTCCTGAGAAGTT